ACATCTGGTGAAAATTTCATGTCATTAGCACCTCTAGTAATATATTTACTGAGAAAAATGGAGACGTGTTCAATACTTATTTTACCCGCTGTATATCACTTGTATGAGAGAGAGAGAGAGAGAGAGGAAGCATAGTTTCAGGGGTGGAGCTGTGTTTTGTTTGGCCCGAGCTCACAGCAGAGAGTCTTTGTTGGCCCTGTGGGTGCGAGGGGGGGAGGGGGGGCTGACAATGGGGCTTTGCACYGGCTTCAAATTAGTATTCTCCTTCCATTCACTTAAGAGGAGGCACAGCCGCGCTCCCCTTTGTCCCCCATTCACCACACACACACTCACACACACACACCTCTTCTTAAAATTAAACCTATAGTTTTGTCAATTTTTCATTAAAGAAACTCTCAGAGGTCGCGGGGTTTTGACTCATTTTAATTTGAACATTTTATCATGTTAATTTGGTTGTTTCTGGAAGCTGGAGGTTCTCTGGAACTTTACTCCAGGAACCTAAAACGTTTCATTTGAGTGAAAATCTCCTCATCTGTGGTTTCAGACTCATTACCGACACAACACAACCTGAACCCAGTTTTCACTTTGATRAATTCCTTCAGCACATTTTTAAATTTAAAGCAACAGGTTCGACTTTCAGAGCACTCAGGTTACAAACATATTAAACTGGAAATGTTCTTATTCTCAATGATTTTAAAAGATGTTCTCAACCTGTGGGAATAATATCACTGATGGTACTCAAGATCCCTCTAGTGGTACTCTGAAGAATATTTTATTTATACGTTAATTTACAAGAGAATCTAAACTGTGATGTACAGCTAAAACAGACAGTTCTACAAAAGAGTGGCTCAAGTAAACTACAGTTTCCCTGACTGCAGTGGAAGAAGCTGAATTACGTAACTGATGCATTTCCACCGGACCTGCTGACAACATAAAGGCACGAAACAGTGAGTACACCACAAAGTGTGCAAAATGGTAGAAATGATAAAACCAAATGCATAAAATGTAAAATTCAAACAATAAAACAGGACAGAAAGGTCAAATAAAAGTAAATACACAAAACTGTACAGCTGGAATCTTGTCGAAAACCTGTTATTAGCTAGTTTTTAAAAGAATCAACTGAATCAAGACAAAATCAAAACAGACGCAACGTGTTCAAAACCCGAGGGCCATGGTTTTACAAGATTTGTCTCCTCTGGTCTTAAGATAAGTTTGTAAGACCACCACGAGCTTTTGTCCCGATGATCTGAGASTAGAGGAGTGGAGTTTGAAAAGGTCAGGGATGTAAGCCGGAGCCACACGGCTGGTAAAAGTGAAAACCGACATTCAGAAACTATAAATCTTGACAGTACAGGTGCAGTATGTGGTTTCTGTGTTGTGTATGGTAGAAAACATTTATAGACCAGTTATACATCGGGGAAACAAAGCAGCCACTGTTCAAAAGAATGTCCCAACACAGACGAGCTACATCTAATGGCCAGAACTCTGCAGTTTGGCCTCAGGCCCTGGAGCAGTGTGGTTATCCTGACTGGGCTTTCTTGAAAGCAGACAGGAAACACAGACAGGATTCCAT